AGAACTAACCAGAGTAGTTACAAATTAACAAAAAATCTATCTAATATCTACTAATGAATGTGTAATTAATTCCAAACAAAAACTTGGATTTGGCTCCAGGAGGAAGAAGCTGGAACATGTGATTTTTGTACCATGTATGACCAAAACAATAAATTATAATAATGTCATAATGTCCTCATGATGTCATAAGTCCATAATGTCACGTTTTCACCGCGCTGCCGAAGGGAACGTTTAAAGAAATCCATTGTTCCTTCTGCTGTCAGACTGTACAACAAACCTGAATGAGTTAAAAATATGCACTATTGTTCGGAAGTTATTTAGAGATAGTTAGGGCGGCACGGTGGCTGAGTGGATAGCACTCTCGCCTCTCAGCAAGAAGGTCCTGGGTTTGAATCCCGGTTGGACCAGGGCCTTTCTGAGTGGAGTTTGCATGTTCTCCCTGTGTCTGCTCCGGTTTCCTCCGGGTGCTCCGGTTTCCCCTACCACTAAAAATATGTACAATAGGTCTGGCATGTGCCTCCTGTACTGGCACCCCCACTCCCAAAAAAAAACAATTGTAAACCGCTTTGAGACTCCAATGTGCAGTGAAAAGGCGGTATATAAATAAAGATTACTTACTAATTACTACTTAGTTAGTTGTTTATAATTGATGTACTTATGTGTTTGGCTGTGCATACAACTGGATGTATTTAATCTTTCCTCTTTTTAATGCACTATGGCTATTTATGATTTTAATTCCATGTGTGATTTTAATGTTTTAGGTTTTTAAACTACAACGTGTGTTTTTATGTATTTAATATGTATCGGGCTCTTATGGTGTGTGTTGTGTTTGTGTACGTTTTAATGTCTGATGATTAATGCATGATGTGATGTGAGTGAGGTGCTTTGTGTTGCCTTGTGTAGGAAAGGAGCTGTCTGTCTGTCTGTCAGTCTGTCTATCATCTGTCTGTCTGTCTGTGAGTCTGTCTATCATCTGTCTGTCTGTCTGTGAGTCTGTCTATCATCTGTCTGTCTGTCTGTGAGTCTGTCTATCATCTGTCTGTCTGTCTGTGAGTCTGTCTATCATCTGTCTGTCTGTCTGTCTGTCTATCTATCATCTGTCTGTCTGTCTGTCTGTCAGTCTGTCTATCATCTGTCTGTCTGTCTGTCTATCATCTGTCTGTCTGTCAGTCTGTCTATCATCTGTCTGTCAGTCTGTCTATCATCTGTCTGTCGGTCTGTCTATCATCTGTCTGTCTGTCTGTCTATCATCTGTCTGTCTGTCTGTCTGTCTATCTATCATCTGTCTGTCTCTGTCTGTCTGTCTGTCTATCATCTGTCTGTCTATCTATCATCTGTCTGTCTGTCAGTCTGTCTATCATCTGTCTGTCAGTCTGTCCATCATCTGTCTGTCAGTCTGTCTATCATCTGTCTGTCTATCTGTCTATCATCTGTCTGTCTATCTATCATCTGTCTGTCTATCTATCATCTGTCTGTCTGTCAGTCTGTCTATCTATCATCTGTCTGTCTGTGTCTGTCTGTCTGTCTATCATCTGTCTGTCTATATATCATCTGTCTGTCTGTCTATCTATCATCTGTCTGTCTCTGTCTGTCTGTCAGTCTGTCTATCATCTGTCTGTCTATCTGTCTATCATCTGTCTGTCTATCTATCATCTGTCTGTCAGTCTGTCTATCTATCATCTGTCTGTCTCTGTCTGTCTGTCTGTCTATCATCTGTCTGTCTGTCAGTCTGTCTATCTATCATCTGTCTGTCTGTCTGTCAGTCTGTCTATCATCTGTCTGTCTGTCTGTCAGTCTGTCTATCTATCATCTGTCTGTCTCTGTCTGTCTGTCTGTCTATCATCTGTCTGTCTGTCAGTCTGTCTATCTATCATCTGTCTGTCTGTCTGTCAGTCTGTCTATCATCTGTCTGTCTGTCTGTCTGTATCATCTGTCTGTCTGTCAGTCTGTCTGTCTATCATCTGTCTGTCTGTCTGTCAGTCTGTCTATCTATCATCTGTCTGTCTGTCTACAGTATCTATCTATCTATCCATCTATGTCTGAGTTTTAATACGTTCTATGAGAAAAGTCTCGTCTGCGCCTCAGACTTTTCACACCGAGCCCTTCCATTATGACGCTAAGAATCTCCTTCTCCGCTTCGCTAGAGCCGAGCCGAGCGGCGCGTCGGCAGATCCCGCGGGCTCAGCGCTTACAACCGCAGTAAACAATAAACGGTGATAAGAACTGGCGTTGTCGATGAGTTTGTAATTTGCGGTCATTTCATTGGTCGTGTCCATTAGGAGAAAACATAAGGAGAGGTCCACAGGGATTTGACTGGAATCTATGGGATCTATGGGTGGGTTTTCAGGTTGATTTAGTTTTGTTTAGTGCGTTTGTTTAGTCAAAATAATGTGTACAGCGCCAAATCTCAACAGCAGTCGTCTCAGAGGACATTATGACGCTGTGGATTCACCAGCTACAGGTCAGAGAATTAAATAGTTTGAATAATACTTGTAATAAAAAGCAGGATTATTGTCATTACTGTCCTTTGACCAGTGTTTTCTAACCAATGAGCCATGACACGTTGAGATGTTGTTTGGAATGCCTTTGGAAAATTTTAAATATCACCTATTGGTCAATTTTTTTTATATTTTACACTTAGATGAGAATGACTTTGCGTTCATAACAAAAGCTGCAGTTACATTTTGTTTTATCGTTTCTGCTAGTGGTGTGCCAAATGGGTTGTTTTCAATAAAATAAGGTTGGGGAACACTGACTTAGACCCTCTGCATCGGTGAGGAATGACTACATTGATATATTGATAATGAAGCATTTACAGCAAGAAACATGGCAGCTACTTATATTGTACATTTTGTCTCGTGTATGTGCGCTGCAACATTGAAATTTCCCCGCTGTAGGACGACAAAACCATCTCTTATAATTTCTTCAATTCTTCTTCTTTGTGATGGTTCGTTGGGGCTTGTCCTGGACGTCTTTAAAACTGGTAGTTCTAAAGTGAAGTGAACTCTTGTCAGACTTTGAGTGCGGCGACATCTTGTTCCTTTACTCTCTATTTTAGCAAAAAGTGGAGTGTTTTCATGCTTCAGTGTGTGAGCGTGGGACTGGCAGAGACCGGGGTGAGGACCGCTTGTATCGACACAGCAGCAGAAGAGCCGACAGATCAATACAAATGAATTTAAAAAGCAATAAATCCAGACTTCTGTGACAATTGCTTGGAACCAAAGTGGTAAATGGAATGTATTCATTTGAACAAACCTCCCCTTTAACACTAGAACTGCCACAAGTATGGAACTGCTGGAACTCCCGAAAGCCGCCATTTTGACTGCTCCCGTTCAAACCAATGGAGGTCTGAGAAATTGCCCCAAAAACGTTTCACCAATTTTATTAAAAGTTAGTCATTTATAAGGTTTTCACTCACTTTTAATACGTGCTAAAATTGATGAATGTAGAGTAACTTGAAATACAGCAAAAACAATTAGTTGAAAGGCTGATGCTAATGCTAATGCTAACGGCTGACAGTTAATAGCAAAATGACGGCTGTGGCAGTTAAAGGCCAAACTACTCTCAAGTCAGAAATAGAAAATAAATTCAGAAAAAACAATGACAGAAATAAACTTTACATAGATTGAGAGAAAAAGTCAAAGTTATGAAGAACAGGAATGTAGACGAGTAATTGCTTGCTCTTGTAATCTTTCACAGACCAGAGTCACAAAGCACTTTACAATTGTTGTGGGCGTTTGTCTCTCACTCCACACAGAGACGGGGGCGAGTTCGCCAGTACAGGAGGCACCTACCCAGACACAAGCAGAACATGCAAACTCCACACAGAAAGGCCTGCAGGTGGAATTTAACCTTCTTGCCGTGACACACAAGCACTAACCACTGCACCACCATGCCGCTCAGTCTCTCTGCTCTGGAGAGCAGCTTCAGTGACAGACTAATTCACCCTAGCTGTGTGAAGGTGAAGGCAGGTCTTTCCTTCCTGCTGCTGTCAGACTGTACAACGAGAATGTGTAACAGGAACTGCTGAGTCTGCACAAGTGTCACTGATAATTCACTAGTAACTTTGTCACTAGTCACTTTACCTGTTATCAGTACTACTGTATTATTACATATCTGATATTTCTGCCTTCCACCGTCACTTTACCTGTTGATATCTTACTGTATTATTCATATCCATCTGATAATTCTCCCATTCAAGTCACTTTACCTGTTGATATTATTTCTGATGTTTATTCTGCTCATATTCTCATATTCTCCGCTGCTAATGTATAATATAGACATCTGTAAATACTCCGAACCAAGTGCAATTATAGCCCAGAGTTAATCTTATTTTATTTTATTTTATCTTAAATTTATTGCCTATTATCTTAAATAATAGAGTAAGTAAGTAGTAAGTAAGTAATCTTTATTTATATACCGCCTTTTCACTGCAGATCTGAGTCTCAAAGCGGTTTACAATTGTTAATTTTGGGCATTTGTCTCTCACTCCACACAGAGATGGGAGCGGGGCCAGTACAGGAGGCGCATGCCAGAACTATTGGACATATTTTTAGTGGTAGGGGAAACCGGAGGACCCGGAGGAAACCTACGCAGACACGGGGAGAACATGCAAACTCCACTCAGAAAGGCCCTGGTCTGACCGGGATTCGAACCCAGGACCTTCTTGCTGAGAGGCGAGAGTGCTATTCACTCAGCCACCGTGCCGCCCTTTATATACTGTATATATAGACTTTATATGTGCAATGTGAGTGCTCTTATTTCCTTTCTCTGTTGTAATTTGCGCAACGATGACACTGACATTTCTCCACTGTGAGACTAATAAAGGTTTATCTTATCTTATCTTAATACGTTTTAGGATTTCTAGTGGTTATTATTATTATACATCACTGTTTATACAAAAAGGCGTGTATCCAGTTCTACAGTTCACATTTGCCACTGATCAGTATTATTCAAAACTCCTACATCTCTCCCTCTGACTTTACTCTGTCGGCTTTAAGTCATGTTATGCAAAATATACGAAGCAGAGCCAAAGAAATTAGCTCGTCTTGGCCCACAGCCAGACTGACGCAGGGCTTGCATCCCAGTTGTTTTTGATGCACTCCAACATAAAATGCAGAGGCAAATTTCATCAGTGCTTGTACAAGAAGAAGGAGCATTCTCTGTGTCGGCGATTGATGCTCAGAAGACTCTTTGTGGAAATGAATGAAGAGTGCAACGATGGAGTCTGCGATGGCGTCTTCGATGGCGTCTGCGATGGTGTCTGCGATGGAGTCTGCGATGGCGTCTGCGATGGCGTCTGCGATGGTGTCTGCCATGGCGTCTGCGATGGCGTCTGCGATGGCGTCTGCGATGGCGTCTGCGATGGCGTCTGTGATGGCGTCTGCGATGGCGTCTGCCATGGCGTCTGCGATGGCGTCTGCGATGGCGTCTGCGATGGCGTCTGCGATGGCGTCTGCGATGGCGTCTGCGATGGCGTCTGCGATGGCGTCTGCGATGGAGTCTGCGATAACGTCGGCGATGGCGTTTGCGATGGCGTCTGCGATGCAGACTCCATCCGTCTGCACACAGAAATGGGAGCGATGTTGTCTACAGGAGGCACATTCATCAAACCCATAAATGTTTTCTATTGACACCAAATTTTTATTAGCAATAATTTACTCACACAAAGAAAACACATAACTTTCATCCATTTTCTTCCCCTCATCTTTGCTAATAATATTTTAGGATAAAAATTGACCACATGAAAATGAAAGAGAAGAATCGCCCACCTCTGACCTGGAGTGTAAATGTAGAAATCATGACACCACAGCGGCTAATGGTGCTTTCAGACCGAAAACGCTGAAACGCAGCAGCCCAGCTTACCAGACGCGCATTCTCTAGTTTTCAGACGCAGAGGCTTGCACACCGCCAAACGACGCACGAACACAAGCATGCCCACCTCACTACACTTCCGCCGGAAGCGTGAGGCGTATGGGCGGGCTTTCCATATTCACAACAACTCAACAAGATGGCGGATCAGGCGAGGCAGCAAGCGTTCGTTTACTTGGTTCATAGAGTTCTTGAACAACGGCGTGCACGACGGCGTGTCTGGGTTCACGATATCCTCCAGAGACGGTCAGAGTATGGCGAGTTCCACCATTTGTTACAAGAGCTGCGGCTGGATGAGGTGCGATTTCAGCGGCACTTCCGTCTCACGGTGGCCCAGTTTGATAACCTGTTGGGCCGCGTAGGTGCACGAATCTCTCACCAAGACACCAACTACAGACGTTTCATCTCTCCTGCAGAGCGCCTTTCCATCTGCCTACGGTCAGTAATTGTGTATGTGAGTGTGTGTCTTTGTCTCTGTGTGTGTGCTCGGTCTGTTTGTGTGTGTCTTTGTCTCTCTGTGTGTGTTCGGTCTGTTTGTGTGTGTCTTTGTCTCTGTGTGTGTCTTTATAAGTAAGTAATGTCTATTTATATAGCGCATTCTACAGACCAAGGTCACCCAAAGCGCTTTACAATGTTCAGAGTTCAGATATTGTTCCAATCATTCCACACATGGTGAGGGTGGAAGCGAGTCTGTCTGTGTGTGTTTATTTCTGTCTGTGTTTCCTTGTCTCTCTCTGTGTGTCTGTGTTTGTGTGTCTGTGTCTATTCTTCATGTATATAGCGCCTTTCACAGACCAGTCACAAAGCACCTGTCTATTGTTATGGGACATTTGTCTCTCACTCCATGTGCACATTCAATTAATGTCTTCTTTTTATTTTATTAGGTTCCTTGCCACTGGGGATTCGTATACTACCATCGGGAGCAGCTTCAGGGTCGGTGTGTCCACTGTCTCCAAAGTCGTCCCCGAGGTAGTTACGGCCATCTGGGACTCTCTGGTGGAGGAGTTCATGGCGGTTCCCACCACAGACGACTGGCGCTCCATTGCAGGGGAGTTTGAGAGGCTTTGGAACTTTCCTCTGTGCTGTGGTGCCGTGGATGGTAAACATGTGCGCATGAAGGCCCCTCCGAACGCTGGCTCCTTGTACTACAACTACAAGGGTTACCACTCCCTGGTGCTCCTCGCTGTTGTGGACGCCCAGTACCGCTTTCGCGTGGTTGACGTTGGGGGATATGGCAGGAACAGCGACGGGGGGATCCTGGGCAACTCTGCCTTTGGTACGGCCCTGCGGGAAGGAACTCTCCGGCTGCCTCCTGACCAGTGCCTTCCAGGCGCTGACCACAGAGGGCCCCAGCCCTATGTCTTTGTGGCCGATGAAGCGTTCCCACTGCAGCGGCACATGATGCGTCCCTATTCCCTGAAAGAAACTGACTGCATTTCTGTTCTTTGTCACCATTTTGTTAGCGCTAATAAATTTTTGCCTTACTTGAAGTGTTGTTTCTGTTTAATGTATGTTTTAATTTAAAATGCTTTAGGTAAACACTTACAGCTAACGAGACGTGAAGTCAAGTTAAAAGTTGTTCATAGTACCTAGTTTTGTTTTGAAACGTTACTCTATGATCCTTCTTATTCAGCCCCAATTATAGGCAATGTCAAATCAGACATTTAGCTTTGGAATGGAATGGTTCACTAGTGGAAAATAAAGTACCACATACTTTGATTAGTCCATTCGTACCTTTTCTTGTGCACAGAGTCATAGAGAATATTGTGCATGAGAAATACTCTGTTTAACACACACCACATTAAAGATAGAGTATGAATTTTAAATATTAGAAACTGCGATCATGTAAATAAACTTTATGTAGGTGAGTTCAGAATATTATTTTGGTTCCCTAGTACTCCAATTGATATTACTAAAACCCTTACTGTTTGTGCGAGTATGGCAGATATTAACATTGGGCCCCTCAACATTTGTTATCGTCATATAAAGACATTCCTCTGTACTTTAATTTGGTAACATGTTAGTACGCGCCTTATATTACCTGAGCTTTGGAGAATTCTACAATGTGAAGTTGCTGTTCCCTTATCATTACTTGTTTAATCATAATACAGTGTAATTAAACTGTTTAAAACGACCCTTGATTTAGGGCCGTTTTCACGCCATCTAGTGACCAATGTAGCATACAACAGTAAACAACCGTAGCATATCACAGAGACAAGAGAAAGTAATGCAAACATTGAACAAACCTTGTTCCCTCATCAACCAGGTGCTAAGGGCTGAAACAAACTATAGAACATTTTTGTACTCGCCTTATACATTCTCAGAGCTGTGGAGAATTCTACAATGTCAATATGCCAATCTATATGCTGTAAAGGAGGGGCCAAAGTAAATTTTGTATCTGCTCATTTATTCTGTAATGTATGGTTCTTCTACAACTACGCCTCTTAATGACAAGATTAAAAAGAACCTAGGAAATGTATCTACATAGACACAAGAGATTCACACAACACTTTTATTTACATATATACAATTGCATGGAGTGAGGTCACATGGCTATCCCTGCACATTGGATGGTGGCGCATTTCCTTTTCTGCAAGTTCCTTGTAGATGATGTTCGAAAACCTCCGTTTGATTCTGTAACGGGCATGGGGCTCCAATTTCCCCAATAGAGGGACCAGACAGGAAAATATACGCCGTGTAGTGGCGTGATTACGTCAGTGGTGTGCGTGCTCTCTGATTGGTCGCTGCACGAACATCTCGAGGAAAAGTTGAGCGGAATCCATCTCCTGTGGGCGTTCATTGTCCGCTCCTTCTCCTCCCCTTTGACTTTCCCGCCAAGTCCGTGCGTTTCTACTGGGCGGTCCGTGCGTGTGTGCCGAGAGGTCCGTGCAATGCGACGCTGAAACGCGACTCCCCATTGACTTTGCATTGAACGCAGACGCAACGCCTGTCCCGGTCTGAAAGCACCATAACTCGCACTCATCCAACAGATTTGAGTCCCTTTAAGCTTTCTGTGATGTACTAATTGCTTTCCTAAGTGCTTTATATGCTGCGCACTTTGATTAATCTTCTTTGTCTTTCTGCCCATCATTATCGATCCATTAGATACACACTCCATCTTTACTTTCAGAACAATCCCTCAAAGATTTACACCAGGTCTGGGCTTTGTGCCGTGGTCAGGTGCAGAGACGGTGCTTCCACTTGTCACGACTCTTCAGGTGTTAGAATCTAAGCACGGAGCGACACACACACACACACACACACACACACACACACACACACACACAGACACACAAACACACACACATCACTGAAGCAGCACCGCGGGCTGTAATGGGCCGGTCTATCTCCACTTGTTTCACTGCGTCATTCAAATAGTTTGAGATGTGAGGATAAGGAATCGATAATCGCAGGCAGGGCGCGTGTAGGCGTCGGCAATTAGCAGTAAAAGTGGCTGAACGGCGGCAGATGGATCAAACCGCAGCCGGGGGAGGTTACCCATTACTCACTAATTTGACAAATTATAGAATGTATAGAAACAGCCCAAACTTCACCTTGAGCAATTTTCTCAAGAGTGTGTGTACAATGGTGTTATCGTAATACTCATTTTATTCAATTCAATGTATTTTATATCGCCCTAAATCACAACAGTTATGGTTATCTCAGCAAAGCTGTCGATTCGCCAACACAGATCAGAGAATCAAACACAGGAAATGCAATGCAATGATAAGATATTCATGTATTGTGTGTTCCTTTTAGTCTCACATTTTAGTGTTTTACTTATTGTATTGTTTTTAGTGTACCCAGTGTTTCCTCTGGAGGAGCCCTCTGCACTGGGAGCAGTGGTCGGTGTGGCTGCGGGGGTCGGACTCTTGGGCCTGGTGGGGGCCCGGGGCCTCGGTTTCGTGTCTCCTCTGGGTCCTGTGCCGTCCCCTGTGGCTACGGGCGGCTCTCTGCTCCTGGTGCAGACGGCTCCTTGGATGACGCTTTTTCAGTTGGTTGCATCTGAACCCCGACAAGTCTCTCATCATGGTTTTATTGTTTTACTGGTGTGTGTGTGTGTGTGCGTGTGTGTGTATGAGTGTTCATGAGAGTGTGTGCGTGTGTTTGTCTGTGGTTTGGGGTGGGTCTGTTGGGTGGTCTGGGGGAGGGGTCTTGGGTCGGCGGGATTGTTTTTAACCAAACTGTAAAGCACTTTGTGTTGCATCTTTTGTATGAAAAGCGCTTTATAAATAAAATTTGATTGATTGATTGAAACACATAGAGCCTGAAGTCATGTGGTCAGAGAAGCAGAGGCAGGAATCAACGATGCAAGGAATACCAGGCCGGATACTTGGTTGATGGAAGTCTTTGATCCAGTTTTGGTTTAGTTTAATTCAAAGGGGACAACGCAATTTAATAAAACACATGATTAAACATTAGTAAAAAAAAGCCAGAATTAGCCAAGGAGACTATTTTTCATCTGTAGTCCCCGGGCCGTGATGTTAAAAAGCCATTAAACGACATTAAAATGCATGTATCGGCGAGGTTTGGACAGCTTCGACGACCTGTCTTTACATTACTGCAGACGTTTCTCATACAGTATACTCTTTAAAAGTACCAGGGAGGGGCATGAAGAGTGATTCTAACTAATGTCCTTTTGGGGAAACCAGCTCCATGTCGTCTACGGCGTCTTTTACGTTGGTGTATGTCCTGGTTTTTACACCTGAAAACCGTTGTTCATCGCTGGCAGACGCAACATGATCTTTTAGTGCCATACTTAGGGTCTGTATTAAACTCTCAGACCTAACCTGGACTTCTGGCAGACGACCAATGTCCATAAATGTCGGTGAATGTGGAGTGTCCTGGATCATCACCACTGTCCTCAGACCCTTCTGCATCTCTCTAAAAACCCAGTTGGAGAATTGTACAATCGATCTACTATATTTCTACCATTCTCTCCTCTCACATTTTGTCCCAACACAGGACTATACAGACTGTTCAAGTTTATCACAGAGGTTATCCGTGAGGTCTATTGCACATTTACCTTCATTTCATTTTGATCTCTCATGGTTTAACCTTCAC